TTCAATCATTTATTTACATGAGCATGGATTTCAAACTTTTAGCTACAATCCAATTACTGCATTATTCATTCCGTCCCAACTGGTATTGCTCCTGCTCTGGACACTGGGGACTCTTGGTGGGCTCCTGCATCCCTTTGATATATACTTTTTTCTGGTCATCTTTTAGCTTGAAATATCTTTAATGCTTTCCTACTTTTATCCTGGAGGATCAGCTTGTGCAGTCCCTGCTCTGCTCCTAGACCTAGCTGTTTCTCCCGGGACTCCCAGACCTGGAGGAAAGCGTTAGCACCAGACACCTGTGTTCCAGGACCCATTGCTCCCAGGACATTCTGGTTGCTACAGGTGTCTCTCAGCTGACAGTGGGAGTGGGAGGTGTCTCCTACCCTGTATGTGCACAAATCTAACCCCCACACGTAACAGTGATGATGAGCCTGAGTTCCCACTGAGCCAGCACTGTGCCCATGACTCCACCCTTCTTTGCCCCTCCATGATGTGGTTTGAATGTGAACTGTCTCCCACAAGCTCATCGGTTTGAACACATGCTCTCCTGCCCATGATGCTGTTTGAAGGACAGGTAGAACATTTGAGTTGTGGGGGATGGTTGATGGAGATGGGTTGCTGGGCAGAACTTGAAAGTTATACCCCTTCCTGCTTCCAGCCTGTGCTCTCTTCTTCTTCTGGCTATGATGAGAGGGAGAGCTGAGGCACACACCCCTTCCATGGAGCCACCGTGCTGCCCCAGCATAGCCCTGTTGACCTCTACTGGCTCAGCATCCACTGCTGTCAAGCCCCCAGGCAGCTCTGTCCTGTCCTTCAGGGAGGCACCCTACGCCTATGACACAGGCTAACCACACCACAGCATCAGACTGTCATGGTGCTAGAAAGCTGAGGTTTTGATAAGTGACCTCTAACCCTGGATGGCCCAGAATAACTTCACCAGTCTATAAAAGACTCCTGGGTTCACCAGTCCCAAGCACAGGAAAGGAGTGACTCAGTGGAGGCTTGTCCTTGATCTTCCCATCTCGTGATGCATTTAGGACATTTCCATGTGTGTTCAGGGCTAGTAGCCCCAACCCCAACCATTTTATCGCCAAGCAGCATGTCGTGGTATGGGGACATCATCAAAGGACATCTTGGTCACTTCCAATTTGGAGTGATTAGGGGTAAGGTGTTATCAATATTCCCCTGTAGGTTTTGGGGTAGATATACGTTTTAAGACCTGGAGGGTGCATGCCTTGGATGGTGGCTGTTGAGCCATCTTCAACCTTTTCAAAACCTGCTTGCACACACACACACACACACACACACACACACACACACACGAGGCCTGCAGCACCAGAAGGAAGGTGACAACTGTCCATTCTGAGGCTCCCAGCCCTCCCTTCCTCCCGGTTTCACTCTGAGCAGAGCCTGCCTCAGGCTGTAGGCCCTGACTCTGTAGCTCCACCCTCACAGCTGTGAAGTTCTCCAAGGCAGGCCCGAGCCTGCTCTCATCCCAGAGCACTGAGTACCTGGGAGCAGAAGCCTGCTCAGCCAATCCACAGTAGTAATCCTCTCTACTGAACAATTTCTAGCCTGAGCTGTGGGCTAACCATCCTTGTGAGGATGTTACCCTACTCTTTGGTAAGGGTTCATGTTGTGCAGCCCCCCCAGAGCCTTCAGGACACAATAACCGTGGCAGTCCTAACACTACTCCTACATGGGAGGCCGAAGCCAGGAAATAACATTGTTTGCCCCACACCTGGCTTCCAGACTCCTACTGCCCCCAAGACAAGCTGGACCACACACTGACTGCTGTTGACAGCGGGGAGATAGAAGGTGATACTGCAGCCAGCTGCCCTAGAGGACAAAGCTCCCTCGTCCCCCAGCACCTGGGATATTTTGGCTTCTTAGTGTATCATAGGGTTCCCAGTATCAGATGCACCATAGGAGGATGACAGGGCCATGAGGAAAGGAACCCAGAGTCTCAAGGATTCAGGCCTTTGATGCTTTCCTATCCTGGAGGACAGATTAAAGTGCCTCCAGAACAGAACCTGGGCCGAAGAAATGTCAGATGTATAGTCAATAGATGGGTAGATGGAAAGATGGATGGTTGAGTGGACATACAGAACACTAGTAGGTTAGATGGGTTGATGGTGGTTGAAAGGCTGTACAAACAGAGGGTAGATGGATCAGAAGGTGGAGGGAAGAATGCATAAAATGGATGGAAGAAGATAGAGGAGATGGAGAGAGAGGGATAAGGAGGGAGGGGAAGGGAGTGAAAGAGAGGAGAGAATAGAAAGAAAAGGGGAGGAGAAGGGGGAGGGAGAGGAGAAAGAAAGGGGGATGGGTAGAGACTGTAGCTATCAAACTTCTAAAGTTTACCCCAAGCTTCCTTGCCCCCCACACCCTCCCCTATGCCCCCCACCCCACTAAACCTCCTCAGGCAACTCTGCCCTTAGATTTCCAAGACTCACTCACTGTTCATCTTTGAGGGTGCCATGGCACCTCATCCTCATGAACCTTCTCCCAGTAGGCAAGAGAAATGGTGCCCTCTCCTGGGCTCTGGGCCCACAGCCCTAATCTTCTCCAAGGGATACCGTGAAGCTGATATCAGAGTCCAAACTGCCCCAACTCTGGCGCCAGCTCAGGGCCTCTTTATACTAGGAGAAGAGCAAGTGGTACCTGAAGACCATCTCCCAGGTGACTAGGACCCCTTTCCCAGGGCCCTGGGCATGGGGACACTGTCCCTATCAGAGACAAGGAAATAAACCCAAGGCGGCCTGCTGCCAATCAAGCACTGATGTACAGTGAGCCTAGCCTTGCACACAGTTCACTCACTTGAATTCCGTTGAACATTACAGGTGCTACAACCCTGCCAAGCCCTACTCTTGTCAGCATGGACTGTGTGCCTCGGGAGGGACTGGCCAGCACCCAGACTATTCTAATAAGAGGGTGGGGAGACACAAGGCCCTAGGTGGGGACCAGAGGGCCCTGGAGGGAATCAGCCTTATCCAGGCATTTTCCAGCAGGGGGCAGTGCCACCTCACATTTGGGAACTGTCAGTCCTGGGAGACCCAGCATTCCTCCCCAGCCTCAGGCTTCTAATCTACTTTGGCATAGCCTCTAGGCAGCCTCTTTGCCCTCAGGGCTCTACAAAGACTGGTAAGCTGGGCCCTCAGCTGTGAACCTCAGAACTTTCCTTGGCATTTCTCTAGGCATCTGCATCAAATGATCATCCACTCCCTCACTCTAATCTGAAGGGACAGTCAGCCAAGCAGCAGCACCACCCCGCCCCCCAGAATCATATGTCCTGACCTTCTCTCTGCCCTGACTCTTACCTGCCCAATTCTCCTGACATACCTTAGCATTGCATGGCATTGCTGGAGTCCTCAGGCCTGGAGACAGGGCTAGTCCCATTTGTTCCAAGATGTGTTCTCTACCACCACCACCAGCAGCAGCCACTCTTTTTACCACTATTGCTTGCTGATGAGAAGGTCTGTTCTTTCCTCTCCCTCGGCTACTGATACTAGGTAAATGACCAGAGAGAAAATGGGAGCTTGGTGATATCCCAACCAAACATCATGTGTCCCCAGACCTGAGGCCCTGCCCCCACCCTGGCCTCTCATGTTACACAGGCCTAGAGGCTGGCTCAGCCTACCACTGCCTGATTCTTCTGCTGATAAACTTATCAAGCCCAGCATCTCTGGTCCAGAGGGACTGCCCTGAGCAGGAATTGCCATGGCAACCAGAGGCAGCAAGGAGGCCTTAGACCAGGTTGCCAAGTGATGCCTGCAGGCAGCCTGGGTCTGCTCAGATGGCAGAGCATTCTGCAGTACTGTGTCCCTGGAGGTAGTCAGTCCCATGAACCACCCCAGCCAGGGAGACCCAAGCTAGAGGCAGCCCTGCCCCAATTAGACCCACCTGCCTTAGTCCCCTCATCCCATCACCTATGAGTCACTAAAAACCAACACCAAAGACCCTGAAAACCATCCTTTCTGCAGTTGTGTTTCTTTTACCTTGTACCCTGCTCTGACCCGAAGCCTCTTGCGGGGTCCTTTGACCTTTCTGAGGACAGGCTTCTTTGGAAGGGTACCAGCCAACAGAAAACTGACCTGACTTTGAACCTGTGGTGAGGCCACACGGACAGCATAAAGAAGTTGACCCCCTTTCCAGACCAAGGTACAGGCCAATGTGAGCCTTGAGCAAAAGAATTTACCACAGAGGACCAGAGTGGGCTGGCAGATGTACTGTACTGCCTCCAAGGTGGGCAGCAGTTTCTGTTTGCATGCCTGAGAAAGTGGGCATGGCACTATGAAGGTCTGGACCCAGCTTCCCACTGCCTTCCACAGCCAACTGGGAAACATTCGGAGTGTATGAAGGGATACATGTGACGATGTGTCTAGGCAGGGACTTCAAGGAGCCTGGTTCTGCAGGCTGCTAGCCAGCAGCTAGAGACCCAGATCCAACATCACAAGGCTCCTCAGGTCCCACTCCCAGCCTATAGGTACCCAGTGCCTCCCAGGCGTAAACTCATCTGGATAGAGGGGCATGAGATGACAGGGCAGTGTCACCAAAGTTGGGGGCAGATGCAGCCCAACCTGCAGACAGCACGGAGACAAAGGGCATTTATCACACGAGATGGTACAGATGGGGTATTGTTAACCTGTAATTAATCGGGCAGTTAGATGACATCATGTATCTGGGGCCCTACGTGTGAACCTCCTGCCCACTCCAGCCAGTACAAGAGGTAGGTGCAGGAAGGCCAGGGCTAGGCACGTCCTTGCAAGTGTCCACAAGCTGCTGTCCATGATTGGGAAGAGGGCTTTGTAGAGGCCTCTGACAAGCCCCAGGTCCCAGAGGAGAGCACCATAGTAGAGCAGATATGGGAAGAGAAGACCCCACCCAAAGGGTGTAGGGATTGGAGCTGCCCCCAGGCCCTCCCACTCTCTCTGCCCCACGTATCTGCAACTCCCCAGCAGGACGGATGAGAACCGACAGGACACCCAACACAGGACGGATGAGAACCGAATGGAGATATATTTTGAAACGCTCGTATTTGTCTCTCCTCTCACGTTTTCCTGTGTTTCTTTTCTACAATCCTGAGACTGCTGTTCATCAACCCCCAGCGTCTGCGCCATAATGTCCCAGAGAGCAGTTACGCAGGGAAGTCATTTCACAGTCAGACGAGCTGCGGCGAGGCCGGCAGGCAGGCACCGAGGATATAGCAAGGTTGTTCCAATCACCAAGAAGGGGAAGGAAGCCCTGCCGGTTGTGGCCCTCCCACCCACCAAAGGAAATGTCTGTCTGTGCTGTTCGCACCAGTCTTCAGCCTCCTTGGGAGGGCCTCCTCTGCCATCTCAGCGTCCCGGTGTCCCAACGCTTCTCAACACTCAAAGCAGAAACAAAACAGGTCCCCTGCCATGCCATCCAGTTTACATGAGGGATAAAATTACATTTGTACAAAAATAGATTCATTTACCCTTCCCGGTGCGTTAAACATTCCTCTATCTTTATTCCCTGCGGACGCGGCATCCTCCCCCCAGTGGCCGCGCATCCCAGCTAAGGCATGGCTAGAGATCAGGGCACTCCAGCCCTGCAGCATCTGAAAATAGATGCGTCCCCTGCCTCCAGAGTCACCAGAGCCCGACTTCCCCACAGAAGGGGACCTCAGGTCCTTGCTCACAAGAAGCAAATGTACAGAAAAATGGGAAAGTCTTGATTAAAGAGAACACAAAACATCAGTAACTGTGCTACACCTCCTGTCATGGGCAAGCAGCCTCTGCACAGTCTCTGTACAGCACATACATGTTCACAACACACAACTGTGTGTATGGGGACCAGGTCACATTCCCCAGTTCTGTGATAGGGACAGCAAATGATTAGCCACTGGTTGCCTGCTCCGGCCAGATCTTCTGGGATCCCAAGGGAGGGGCCTCAGGTGTCCCTTGGCACTGTCACCAAACAGCTTAGTATCCTTAGGGAGGCTGTACTTAGGAAAACTGAGGGTATAAGAGCAAATTCCCTCAGACTGTGGTTTCAGAGTGACATGGACCACAGGCTCTGTGGTCATCTTCACTTCTCCGTCATAGGAGCCCCAAATGAATCTCCAAGTAGGGAGGTGACACAGATGAAGAATATGGCCCCAAAGCAGCAGTGTGGATGTCATACGACCATCGATGGCAGCTGTTATCCAACCAGGCTGAGGTGGGGATGGGTGCAGGGTGGCTAACGAGCTGACATTAGTGCTATCTTTAGAAAATTAAAGATTGTCCCACCAAAATAATAATAACAATAATAATTACAATCACCTTAATTGAGCCAGATTGGTAACATGATTGAAGGTCTGGTTAAATGAACCCAATTCTCTTAGTGACACAACGCCCACACCTCCCCTGCAAACAAACAGCACTGTACACACAGTGATGGTGACAATGAGGCTAAAGGAACAGGAAGCCCATCAGGGAGTCTACGATAACAAGCAGTGGCAGGTAAGGCTATGTGAGACAGCGGGCCTAGAGATCATGGCCCCTGAGTGCCTGAGAGCCAGCCAAGCCCAGACATGGCAGCATTCCAGAGTCAGTCCCAGGACTGTCTCTGCCGGATCCACTGACCATCCTCAGTGGCACAGAACGCAGAGCATAGCATATAATGGGGCCAGCATGAACAATGGGAGCAGTGGTCTGCAGAAGGCACAGTGCTAGGTGTGGGTTGAGGACTCTACTCCCTGTGCCTGGTGCTACCATTCCCCAAAGCCTGCACAGAGTTTCTTAGAAAACCTAAGAGAAGGGGCAGCTCGCTGGTCCTGGGAACTGTTAGACCTCCAATGCACATCTCTCATGCCATCACAAGGAGAAAGGGGGTACAGCAGAGATGTTTCTGGATCTTTCATAGGTGCCTCAGCTGGCTATGGTTGGGACTTTGAAAAGTTGGAAAATGAATGTGTCCTTCCTCATAGAACCTATTAAACTGGCTCCTCCTACCCACCACCTCCAGGCCCAACCCCCTAGATGGCTGGTTCCAGGAGGGCCTTCCTCTCTTACCCCTCTGCACCAATGGGAGACCAGCTGTTGGGGAGGCAGTGTGATCATCCCCACCAAGGCACCTGCTCCTGACAAACCTGGGTCCCTGGATCATGAAGACTGGGACTCAGGGAGGTCCTACAGTGCAAAAAAGGCTGTTCAATTGGAGAAGCCTGAGGTGAGCCAGACAGACAAAGCTCAAGTCTGAGTCTGCAGCCTGCCACCTGAGCAGATGTGACAGAGCCCTTGGGTAAGATTCTGGACACTGTCCACAGACAACACCATACCAACAGGAGTTCTATCAGCACTCCTAACAGAAGTGGCCAGTCAAAGAAGGGGCCCATGCAGGAGTCCCACACAGAGCCTGGCAAGTCAGCCACACCAGGGCACTGTCACCTTTCATACCTGTGTGGTTCATCCCCAAGTCCCTCCATCCCTCTCTCAGGAAACAAGACAACAACCTCCTCCCCTCCCTGAGCCTTGGGATGTCCAGTGTCCTACAAGAGGCCAGCAAAAAGACAGCCCATGTGTTGCCCACAGGACCACTGAGTTGGAAAGCCCATTCTACTTGAGCCAGGGGTAGCCCTCCAGGACAGTCCTTGGCACCACCTTGCAGACCACAAAGGAAGATTTGGAATAGGGAAAAGCCAGGCCACTACAGTTGACTAATCCTGGGTTAATGAGACATATGGTGGGGGACAATGACACACACACACACACACACACACACTCACACACACACACAAAAAAAAAAAAAACCTGGGAGGACCTCTGGCCCATGCAGCCTTGAGGTGATCCCAGAATCCTGCACAGTGGCTATGGTGACATCTCAGGATATCTTTGGAAACAGGCTTTGCAGGTTAGCTATGACCCAGGGGGAGAGGACCTGCCCCCACCTGTTCCCTCTTTACCCCAGGGTAACTTCCCACCCTAGCTGGGTACCAGATCTCTGAACAGGCAAAGATGGGCCACTCCAAACATGGGCATGTCGAGAACCAGCGACAGCAAACAGCAACTAGAACAAGCCCTTCTCCCAGCTCTTGTAGCTCCAGGTGCTGAAGACCCCGTGAAGCACCCCAAGCCCCTCAGAGTAACAGCAGGGTAGCCTAAGAGCCTGATGTGGGGAAGGAGGCTGGCTGGGTCTCAACCAGCTCTGGCCATGGCCCTGGGCCAAAGTCAAGCAGTAATAAAAGATGACAAGGATGGTGACGCATCTTTTGAGACCATAGGGACACTGCACCCCAAAGGTCCACATGGGCCAGCAGAAAGGGCAAGGGACAGGACTGGAGCTGAGCAGCTGTGTCCAGGCAGGGCGCGGGACTGGCGCACGGGCGGCAGGGGCCTAGGTGGTTTGATGTGGGGCCTCCAGCATCTCCATGAGGAAGGTGTCAATGGGCGTGTCCCCGATGAGCTTGAAGAAGAACAGGTGCTCCAGGCACTTGAGCCCGATGGAGCGCAATGCGGGCAGACGAAGCAGCAGCTTGGCGAACCTGCAGGATAGTAGAGAGTAAGGATTGTCAAGGAGACTAGGCTGTTCCCCTCTCTCCTTGGTGACCTGTATCTTCCCTAGAGACCAGCTGAGTCCAGTGGCCTGGGACCTGAATCTGGTCTGCAGAGGAAGCTGCCTGAATTGACCCTTCAGGAAGAAGATGGAGTGAGGAACTAGAGAAAGGAGGCTCCTTAGAGACAAGAGCACAAGGAGAAGGGGTGGGGTAAGGGTTGGGTAAGGGTGGTTGAGTGAGGAGCATCAAGATCCACAGGGCCCTGGAATGAAAGGAAGAGCTCGTGTTAAGACTGCTGTTGGCCAGGACAGGCCCAACAGGGTTTGCGAGAGAAGTTACAAGTATGGGCTTGCTCCATGGGCAGTGGGAAGCCACAGCAAAAATTTAAGCAGGTAAGAGCATGAATGGATTTGTATACCAGAGAGGCCTCTCCAAGAGCAGTTATTCTTCTAGAAGCAGTGGAGCCTGTCCTGGGAAGAGGCAACAGAAAGATCTGAGCAGCCTCCTGAGTAACATGCACTATACTCAGTGGGTGACTGAGAAGCCACAGGGTGGAGCCCGTACTGGAAGTGGAGCCAGTAGTGAACTGGAGAATTCTGTGTTCCAGCAGGAATGTCAGCCTCCCATAGCATCCCCAGCATGGTGTGCAGACCCTTCCCCAGAAAGAACTCCGCTGGGCTTCTAGGCACTGGGGAGGCCCTTGGGTCCCTCCGCCCCTGGAGTGTTTCCTGGGCAAAAGACTGATAGGTACTGGAAAAGAGACTAACCACTCATGGAAGATGGACATCCAGGCCAATCAGCCATGGCAGACATGAGAGGACAGTGTGAGGTGGGGACAGGACCTGAGGTCCCACATGTGACCTCTGTCTGCTCAGGGCCTCCCTGTACACTGGAGGGGCTCTGGACCTCATTAATTATTAACCATGTCTTTTACTTCCAGGGAAGAAGCCTTGTGGCTGGCTGCCCTACCGTCCTCAGTTTAAAGGCACAAGCATAACTTGGAGGCTGGAGAGGCGCCAGAGAACAGGCTGTTTTCTGCTGAGCTGGCGAGATGGGCTAAGGCAGGAAGCCAGGAAAAACAAGCCGTTGCCACCCTCCTGTCCTCCTCCGGGAAGTTTCACTTTAAACCAAACCAGATGAGAGCTAAGCAGCAGTGTGGACAGTTAACTATGTGCATGCCAGGCAACAAGATGGGTTAGTGTGCCCATCTGCCCTGTCTTCTCCACCCCCTTCCACCCAGTCTGCAGGCTGGGAGGCTGGGAGGTGCCCTACAAGGAAAGGAGCAGAATGACACATCAGACTGAATCCCGGGAAATACACCTTCTGAACACCTACTGTGTGCCTAGCATTACAGACTGTCCGTCCAGCAGTGTGAAAATGAGCATGATTGTAGATGCCAGTCTTCCTTGGGCATAGAGAGAAAATATACATTCCAGCTTCAGCCGTCTCCTTGCACAACTGTAGAGTGCCTACATTGTGCCAGTATTTCTAGGCCTCTTAACAGGTTCATTTTATGAGTGAAGAACAGAAGGCTTCACACTCATGAACAATGGCAAGCACCTAGTGTGCACCAGGAATTGGACCAATTCTCTCAATGAGGTTCAGGGAAGGTATGCTGTCTTCAGAGCCTGCGAGCCAGAGGGTGGCCTAGCTCCAGCTCAGAGCCTATAAAGCATCCCAAGCTGGTCTTATGGAGGACAGCACTGTCTTGTGGCACACAAAGGGCTTCAGAGATAGGTGGCTAAGGAGTGGCGGCAGGGGCCTGTCTCAGGGTGGAGGTGCAGCTCACCTGCCCGGCTGCTCCGGATACTTGTGTTTGCAATATGCCTCTAGTGATGCGTACACCTTCTCTCTCAACGCCTCCACCTCAGCAGGGTTTGAAAGCCCCTTGGAGTCTGTAAGGAGAAATGGCCTCAGGTCAGACCCCCCAGAGCCTTCTAGTCACAAGTAAACACAGCAAAAAATATATGTGGTATACAGCTAGATCTGGCTGCCCTGCAGACTCACAGCCCACAGCCCAGGGGCATGGGTGCTCTACAGTCATGCCTCCATGCTGCCACTTGAAAGCCAAGTGACCTCAAACCAGTGCCCTGACTTTTAGGAACTTAAGATTCCCCATTATTTTCCAGGTGGCCATGAGAGATAACCAATGCTTTCACTGCCCTTGGACCCCACCCCACTGACAAAAACAAAGATGCAAGCCCATCACTGAGGATCTCCCTGAACCACACCATGAGCAGATGTGGTTGCAATCCAAGCTGCAAAAATACCACAACCATAGTCATCAACATCATCAAGTCACAGTGTCCCATTGGGAATACTGAGGGTGGCCTGGGTCTGGGGGCTCTTTGGACTTTTTCAGACTCCTCCAACTGACCTAGTTCCTGAAAGTTCCTCTCTATTCCCCATAGCCCCAGGCTCAGGCCATTCTGGTTGCCCCTGCCTCCAGCCAGGACGCACAGACCTAACCTGGGATCTATCAGGCAGGCCCAGGAATTACATCCCGGTGAGCTATCATGGATGGAAGTCTATGCCCCTGTCCCTCCATACCTTCAACCATGGGCAGGGTTGATGAGCCCTGTCTGCCAAGCCTCTAACCCACATATAACCCTCTTCCCGCCGACAAAGATGAATTTTCAAACACAGAAGTCTATACATATCCTGCTTTACCAAGGGCCCAGCCTGGGCAGCTTCCTAGGGCCTAGTCAGATACGTCCCCAACCTCGTGGGCCATCCCTTGAAACCCTGGATCTCTTCTCTGCAAGGATCCCACACTCTCAGCTATACTATCCTTCCATCACCATGTGGAGTGGCCATCGGTGGCATCTGTCACAAACCCAGAGCTGTGAGCACAGGCCTGGCCCACTCTTGGCACTACAGCCTCCCACGCATGGTGCCACACAGAAGACACTATCTTAGCCTTTGTGATGGCAACAGCTTGGAGGCTTCAAATACTGTGGCTCCAGAGCCACAGAAAGGACTTGCTGTCCACAACAGGCTGCTCTGCTCCGACCCCAAACCTTGAGGCTGAGGCTTGAGACAATACTGGCTGCCCTCGGGATATCTAACAGGATGGATTGATTACCAACCCCATCCTGGGAGCTCACTGTGGCAAAAGTCCACTGTGCAGAGCAGAGTCTACAAACCGCAGTTGGAGACCACTAATGCCAAGGGCATACTCCACTCTAGCCGCACAGAGTTACTTGAGCCTCCTGGTTGTCTCAAGACGAGTGGAGGCACAAAATTGTCTGTTGTGATGGTGACAATGTTCCCTAAAAGTCAAAGCATGAGGAAGAGCAGCTGGGAAGACACAAGTGTCCTTGACCACATGGGAGGCAAGAGGGCCATACCAGGGTTGAAGAGGACAATGGCACGCAGGCAGCCCAGCTCCGTCTTGTCCATCTGCATGTCACGCATCTTAGACACCAGCTCCGTTAGCACCCTGAAGGAAAGAGAGGTGCCATGGTCTACATTAGACACATCCTTACCAGGGTCCGACCAAGGAAGATGCACTGGACCCCCATGATACCCAGGGTAGATGGAGGGTAGCTGGATACAATGGGTCTGGTCAGGGCCATAGGAAAGAAGCATCACCATGAGCCCATGGTTCTTGGCAGGATGGGGTCCTTCACCACCCCAGGGATGTCTAGGAATCTGGGCCCAGAGGTAGAACCCCAAGACTCCTGAGCCAAGACCTCCTGTTGTGTGGCCATTCATGGTCACCCTGCATTCATAGCTGTTTCCCTTAGCTCTAGGTTAGACTTTCTGCTGGGACAAAGCCTCATCACCAGACATCACACAGCCTTCTCAGCATGACAGGGACCCCTCCCAAGGGCCTTCTGGTGTCCTTAGTCCACTCAACACATGTGGAGTCTAGAAGAATTCTAGACCCCAGTCCATGTCAGTCACCCTGAGCCACGGTCTCTCTGACCTCAGCAGCAAGGAGAAGCCCTGCCACCAAAGGTCAGACTCCACACTCCACTCACTCCCACAGTGAGAATAAGCTAGGACCTCTCCAACCACTGCTTGGGATCCCCAGAAAATATAAGCATAAGTCTCCCAGCACTGTCAATTCACTATTAGCTGGGCATGTGGCTAGGGCTACATTTCCCAAAATGAGACTCCAGAGGGATAAACCCCAATACCTTCCCCTGTGGAGTAGTCACACATGTAAGCTTGTCAAAGACCCTAAGAAGGCTTGCAATGTAGAGCCTGGCACTGAGCTGCGGTTAGCAACTGCCCCATATGTGGTCATAAACCTTTCTATACTAATATACTCTGTGTGTTCTAATCAGACTTTTCCTGGGGAGAATTCCATCTGTGTGCGGTCCCCTGTGTCCCAGAGAGTGCTGATGGGTGGCTTTGCTCACCTCCAACTTCAGGGCTCTAAAGTTCAGGGACTCACCCGCCCCCACACTGTTCCTTCCTCTGGGCCTGCTCATTGCCACTCACTGCCCTATGCCCTCTGAGTCATCCCCAGCCTCTCAACTTCAGCTCACAGAAAATGACATCCAGGTCCCAAACACTGAGATCTGGCATAGGTCAGCTTTTGTGTTAAGGCTGGTCATTCAGGCAAAAGGGTAAGCAGCCACAGTCCTTCACCTGGTGGGCACAAGCAAGACGGGCATTTCAGGAGAGGAACTGGGTGGAGCCAGGTGGCCCTTGGACATGGCTGCACTCCTTTGAACGTGTTTCTGAGGAGCAGCTAAGGCAGGTACAGAGGCATGCATCACGGCCACTGGGGCTGTGAGGAGCAGCACATCAGAAACACCAGTCGCTCAGTGAGAGATAGGCCAGGGTATAGGTCACCCTGGGGCTACAACAGCACCGCTTATGGCCGAGACATGTCCAATGTTGACACTTACAAAACCATACCAGAAACATAATCTCTTTTTGTTAACCAAGTGCAGCTGTCCTTGTAGATACTCAGATCACAAAGAAGGAAGGCTGCCTGTGGTCTCAACTCCCCTGACACTGGACTCCACACACAACAGTCTCCACATGTCTGGCCAGCATTTTCCACACTAATGTCTTTCCTAAGCAGAGGCTGTGTCCAATATGGCAGGAAGAGACTACGGGGCCTATCCCCCACAAAGATAGCCCATCCTACCTACCTGTCAAAGATGGCCCAACTACGAAAGAGGGCACCCACCACCTACCTGTTGAATACAATGCATATCTAGCCAACTGGTCAAAGATGGTCCTCAACCCACCTACCTATCCAAGATGATGCTACACCACTCATGTGATGAAGATGGCATCCACTCCACCTACTTATCAAAGATGGTGCCTACCCTGCCCACCTATCAAAGACAGTGCCACGCAGCCCACCTATCAAAGATGGCGCCCACCCCAGCACTGTGAGCACTGTTCCGGTGTACATGCAGGCCAGTGGCAAGGAGGATCCCGTCTTTCACAGCTATGGAGCGGTGGGAGAAGGAGGCAATAAGCAGTTCGTTCCAGCCTATGGGGGAAAAGCATATGGTTACTCTGCTGTTGCTATGACCCTCATCACTGTCCCTTCCCCTCACCCACTGTCAGACCTCCAGAAACAGCATGTTCCAGGCAAATGTCTTTCTAGACTCAAGTCAAGGCTCCCCAAGTGGGACCCCCCCCATGTTACACAGAGAAAGGCTCCCAAGCACCTAAGTATGAGCAACAGTGTGTCAGCCCTGAGAAGTCCTGCACCAAGCATCCCTCTAACAAATTCAGGGCATGGATCCTCTTTTCTGTACATGAAGAGAACTCCCTAAGACCTCCCTTGGGATGGGTATGGAATGACTGATACCAGTCTGGGCCTTGTGGAATCCACAAACATTGAGTGCTGAGAAGGAAAGCCATCTTGAGGCCATGTATCCCAGGCCCCAGCACTGACCAACCAGAGCTGCTGTACAAGCACCAAAACGGGGTCTGGGGGAGGGAGATAAGGAGAGGACTCTGCACAAACAGCCAGGGGCTCCTTGACAGGGCAGCACGTGAGCCTTCTCAAGACTAGCCATTCCAGAAACTGTGTCCTGAGATCCCAAGCCCCACAGTTCCCCTCTCATGACTTCGAGCCATGAGAACTGAGGCAGTCAGCACTTGAGAGGTAGAGTCTGTGATCCTTCTCACCATAGGTTCAACCAACTTGGATACTGGGAATCACTCCCAAAAACATGATCTTAGGAACCAATAAAAGCATGTGGGGCAAATTCTGCCCCATCTCATATCTAGGCATTTGAGCCCTACACTGACCAGATCACCTGAGGCCCCAACCTAGGACTGTCCCTTCCATGTGGATTGCCATGCATCAGTGGCTAGGGCAAAGACCTGGACAGTTTTGTCTCCCCTGGACAGAGTGCTTCCCAGAGCCTCAGAGGAGTCTATATTCACAAGGTAGACCACACACCTCATCCCAACAGGAAACCAGCCCACCTAGGAAGAGGCAAACATGAAAGGATCCATCTTGCTCATCTCAGCAATTCATGCCCACCAACAGATCTTTTCAGGGGGAAGTCAGGCTCGGGGCCTGTGTGAACCTAACCCCAACCAAGTAGCTTCCAAAGCATTCCATGATGTACAGGGATCCATCTACAGCTCATTTTATCTACTGCAGTGAGCAAAACTGAGGCTGAGAGTCCATGTGTAAACAGAAATCAAAGCAGGCCCCTCAAGACAGCATGGTATCCAGGCCCTTCATGGGATGGGAGGCAGGTATCAACAGTCACCACAGCTCTGCAGTGAGTAAGAGCTGCAGATGCCATCCCCAACATACCCCCATCTCAGGATCCTAACCTTGGCACATCTATTGGTCACTTGGTGGAATCCAAGCAATAGTCATCAGGTCCCAATGCCAAGGAAGATTCAGTATAGCCTGCAGGGCTAGCCCATCCTAAATTCCAAGGCTAACTCCTACTCAGCAGAGTCCCCTTCTGAGTATGAGAGACACTGCTTATGTTCCATATACTTGCATCAAGACACACTGCTCAGAAAAACATCTTCCAAGGTGACAAGGCTGCAGAGGTCACACAGACCTAATGGGCAGCCTGATGAGACCCTTTACTGACACTTTCTTAGCCCACCCCACCACTCATACCCTCACAGGACTAGCCACTCACCTGCCCGTAGCAGGATGACCTGGTCGTCCAAAGGCAACTCAGAGAAGTGTGGGATCCTCTTGGCCCACTCCACAAGAGTGAAGAGCTGCTTGTCTGCCGCTTGACAGATGTTAGTAACGGGGTCATTTGGCTAAAGTAGAAGAAGGGTACCAATCAAGTCTCACACTGCTGGTATCCCAACAGAACAGCCCCTCCATACACACACACACACACACACACACACACACACACACACACACACACACACACACACACAAAAAAAAAAAAAAAAAAAAAGACCCATGGCACAGAGTTCCATAACCCACAACCCAACCCCTGACATCTGAGACCTGGCACAGTGAAAGGACTTTGAAGGAGAGATTCGATCATAACACCAAGGGTGGGGATGACCCTGGCTTAATGGAGCTGGACTAGGAGCATGGCAGAGGTCATCAGAAGAAGCAGAAGCTCAGTGTCTGGAGGAATGTATCAAGAAAACCTAATTAGAGGATATGGGTGACCTGAAGCTGGCAGGAGTCCCAAGCCAGGGAGCTAAGGACCTCCAAATGCAGAAAAGGCAGAAAGAGTCAGCCCTGCCAATGCCAGACTGGTGCCCACCAAGACAATACAGGGTCACATAGCTCAATGGCGGCAGATAACAGACTCTACCACGGAAGCCCCTGGGTTCATGGCAATTTGTTGGAGCAGCTCATAGCCCTGAAGAAGAGGAAGAGGTATAGGAAAGGGGCCATGTAACAGGCAGGTGAAGGAGCCAAGCTAGGGCCAGACCCCATCTCTAAAAGTAGCAATAGCCCACCCAGGAGAGATGTTCTAACAAATGTGACAAGTGCAAAGGCTTGGGACCAGTCCATGCTTGGTTCAAATTCCAAGTCACAGTCAGAAGTGACATGCATTAGAAGCCTTCCAGGAAGTTCTGCCCAAAAGAGAAGAATCCAGTCCTTCTGGGTGAATAGGCTCAGCTGGGCCTTACAATAGGCTGGGAAGCCCATCCAAGTGTCTGACAGGTAGGCTATGGCCATGGCCCTCTGATCTCAAAGTGTAGCGGGTAATAGTACAAGAACAGGATACAGGATTCTGGCTTTGAAAACAGAAGAGTCTGGGCATCAGAACAGAGAATCGCCTGCCTTTGAAAGGCTTCAGCTGACAGAAACCACCTGGTCGGCAGTGACGTTCCATCTAAACACCCAGCCCCACGTGAAGAGCCTACAAAGGACTCAGTGAAAGGCAGTGACAACTCAGCTTCACACCACTGCCCTGGCAAGACTGGCTGCAGGGGAAGCTCAGAGCATCAGGGGCAGATGATGTCAGTACAAGATCTCCAGGACAGAGTCCTGGCCACATGACCCTCAGCAAACCTCAGAAGTCCAGCACAGCAGGTACTAGGGACTCCACTTAGTGGTCAGGCCACAGGGGTTTGCTCCCGGGGGGGGGGGTGTCTTCCTTGCCTGCCATCTGCCAGGGAGCGGCCCCAAGGTGAGAGACAAGTGCAGAGCCCTAAGCCAGCTATTGGGAATGAGCTCAGCCTTGCCCCAGGAAACAGCTTAGTCTCTGGCCACCCTCTTGAATCCTAGACTGTCACAGTGCTAGACTGTCACAGTGGTTGGGAAAAAGAGCCCAGAGCTATTCTGAGCTGACAGTGGCCTCTGCAGCCACATGCACATGGGCCATCTGTCAGGACCGGATACAAGGCTGGAGCAGAGGACCGGAGAAAGAGGGAGGCAGGTGCTAAACGGGTGTGAAGGCCAAGTGCAGCAGGAACTAACTGCAGGGCTGTCTGGGAGAGAGGGGCAGGGTGGGCTCTGGCTCTGCTCTATTCCATCCTAGTGTATAGCTTCACTCCTCTGAGCTGACTCCACAGCAGACATTTAATGAGCTACTGCCTGCCAGGGAGGTGTGGTCACAAGACCACCCAGACAGGGCCCAGAGAAGCCAGCAGCCCATCTATGAGGCTAGGCGCTGCCTATCCTGTCTCATTGGCTTGCATCTGAGGGAAGGACCACCAGGTCCATGTATGGATCAGATCAAGGTCAGTCACAGGAGGCCAGGAGGACAATGACCTTCCAGTGTGTAGCTTTGAAGACCTGAACCCTCACGGGAGAGCAAAGGCAATGTCAGAGAACATTACCAACAACAGCCTTATTTAACAAAAGAAAACCTTAGCCACCCTTCAAAGCCCAGGTACCCACCCCTCAGATCCTATTCAACAAGGGAGAGTCCTGATGCTGCCCTCCCCTGCCTTCCAGGATAGGTGAGAGTTCCAGGACAGGACACCAACCAGAGCACTGTGCAGGTTCAAGTGGGCAAGGCATTCTATGGTCCCCATGTCTGGAGGTATCATAACACAGCCAGGGTTGATTCCCCAAAAGAAGACTACCTGCAAGGCCCTATACCTTCTCCCTAGTAAGGCAGCCCTGGGCCTTAGATACAGGAGAGGTGGGTAATGGGGGGCGGGGATGGGGGGAGACAGTGATCCTGTCAGGGGGCCTCTTAAGTATGCAAGGGGGGATATCCACTCACAGACTACAGAAGTGGGAAGCTAGCCTTGGAGCCTGGCAGCTGCCGCAGAGCTCTCTGGCCAGGCTCAGCTCCTTAGATCTTCTCTGAAGCATATTCCCTTGCACTGAGATCAAGCCTCACCATGTACATGCGCCAAGACCCCACAGTGACAGCTGGCCTTAGCCCTGAGCCTGCTGAGTATTTGTATGGGGCACACACAGTAAGGCCAGCACCCCAGGTATATATCCCAGGATGAGTAAGGCACTCACAGGGTCACCCACCAGGACAGAGGCCCCACTGTTGGGGGCAAGAGATTACAGCAGCCACAGGAAGGTAAGCAACTAGGGGGAAACTAAGGCAGATGAACTTCTTGAGACTCACTGAGCTGGGGTTCAGCCCCATGTTGGCTTCCACGTATGTCTCAGTCTTGGGCTCAACAGCAAGCTCGGCTTCCAGAATCTTCTCCACGGGCATGTCCTCATTGGCACTGCTGGTGGACTCCACTTCGTTCTCATTCCGGTCCTTGCCTCTCTGCCGCTCCTCCTGCACAGCTATATACAGGAGACAATCACCTGGGCTAGCCAGGCCCACAGTTCCTGGAACATCCCCCAAGTTCAGAGCCAGGTAGGGCTAGCTCCAAGCCAGTACATCTACAACTCTGGAGCCCCCTCCAGGCCCTGCTGAGGGAGACACACTGAGAGCCCAGCCTTGTACCTGCCTGTACCTGGCCACTGGGTGGCTGTACACCCTGAACACACTCAGCTAGTATTTATACCAGGAGCCCAGCTGAGGTCAAGGCAGATGGCCCTTCCTGGAGCTGATGGGTCACAGGAATACTACAGTGAGTATGGAAGGTTTTAGGTCTGAAGATAGAGAGAAACCCAAGAAAGCTTCCTGGAAGAACTGGGAATGGGCCTGAAGAAGGAAGTAAAATGAGGAAACAAATTCAGCAAACGAAACAACTTATTAAAAACAAATGCCCAGAGACATGCAGGGTATGCTCCAGACCAGGAACAAGAAGTGATGACAGAGATGACCACTGAAGTGATAAGCCAGAGCAAGGGACAATCTCAATCAGAGACGTACTGGGCAAGTGTGAAGGCATGTACCCACTGTTCCCATGTTCTCCATGCTTGGATCTGCTGATGGGAGAAGCATTCCAGACTCACATAGCCCACATAGCTTTGCCTCTTTCCTCCATGAAGCGACAGGCCTTGGGACTGCCCACCCTGCTTCACACTCACACACCAGACAACAGCTCCTGGACAGATAGCTTTGAGCAGACCAGGACTCAGGGCCGATGGAAGGCAGCGTGGAAAGAAAGAACTACAGTGGCATGGGCAGGCCGACTCCATTCTGCATACAGCTCTGTGACAGTCCTGAGTGACCACTTTTAATCCCCTGCCTATTGTTCCTTGCTGGGCTTACCAACACCATTTGACTGAGATCCAGACTGAACCAATACATGGCTCTCCCATGTTGGAGCTATGCTCCCCAAGACTCAATGGCCTGGTTGTAGCAGAGACTTTTCAGCCATGAAAGAGCCAAAGATGAGAAGTTGGTCTAATGTCTGCAGAACATACCAGCTGGGCAGAGGCTGGTGTTTTGCAAGCTTGGCTCTTTTGGAAAATCTGACAGCAGGTCAGGGCTGGTGTACAGTTGAGTGCTATGGGCAGATGGCGCCCAGCCTACAGGGCTACAGAAGGTTGCCAGGCTCCATCCCCCCCCAGCTGGGCTTCTAGGGCCCTCCATGTTGCTGCCTCGCATCTGGGTTAGGGTCACTACCCAAGTCACAGATGACTAAGCAGCCCTACTGACAAACAACTAAACAGACCAATCATAGCCAGAGTCAGAGCCAGGAAGTCCATACCCAAGGCCAGAAGACAGAACTCTTCAGCCTCAGGCTAGGTCAATGTCAACTCAATAACCTTACCTTCCCAGATGGAAGAATGACTCAGAGAGCCAAGTGCCACAGCCAACTATGGGCTCTGGAAGGAGATGGTCTACCTCGAGCAGCTGTGGTGCTTTGGGCAACTCCTTTAGCATCTCTATACCCCACTTCCTGTAAAATGTCAATGCAGAGCCTGCCTTCCAGAGGACCCTAAAGGAAACACCTGAGCAGCCCAGCCCTACCCTGCTGGCCCAGTTTCATTCCCAGGAAGGGACTTCCTTGCTCTCAGAGACAGTCTTGGGATGTGGGAAGCCCAGAAGAAGGCAACCCTGAGTACAAGTCCTCACAGCAGCCAGCTATCCCTAAGAGATTTCCCTGGGTGGGTGAGGGGCTCCTCACACCTGCCTCCTGTGCGGGGGCAGCTGAGAATTAATTAGCAAATGTTTTGTGAAGCACTTTGAAGGCTCCAAGGGCCCCAGCAGCTCAGGGCGGCATCGTTATAAATATTATCGTTTTATTTATAGACAGCGGAGGGGGCAGAGGGAGCGGGGGATTTATGTTTTGCCAGCTCAATCACCTTTTAGACGCACTCATGTTTGACTTATGCTCCACTGGCGCCGGGAAGCCTCGGGCGGGAGGCGTCTGTAAATACAGAGCCTCGTTATCCTTCCAAGCCTGCGCAGGCCTTGCGGGGGAGGTGGCTGCCTCAGAGACTAAGGTTCCCTTGCCTGCCTGTGGGACCTACAGCCAATGGTTCAGTCCTCCCAAGATCCAGATGCAGGCTGAGCAGGGGATGACCCCTCTGCAGCACACCTGGGTCCCAACATACAACACATAGTCAAAGTGGAGTGTTTTGGGGTCTGCTCAGAAACCAAACCCAGCAGAATTATGGAGTCTCAGGGGAGTGGGGTATCAGGGTACAAGGGTATCTCAGACCATGGTACCCTCCTGTTAAGGGTTCTGCCAGAAGCTGTGGCCTTCCTCTGCCCTTCAGCAGCCTGTGTTGGGCCCCCCGAGATAGGTATGATCAAGTTCTAACAACATGCCCTGGCCCAACTGCCCCTTCTTAAGACCCAGGCAGTGGAGGTCCAGAGCAGTTCCAAAAGCCATACAGTGCATCAAGGTCCTTGCAGCTCAGATGGCCTTCCCTCCCTCAAGGACAAGTCTGGGACAAGTCACAAAAAAAAAAGTAAATACATAGACAGCCATGCATATATGTACACACACAAATACAAGCACAGAAACACACTGTGGCCACCGTGCTCCAACTCCATACCAGCTGGGCTTGAGCTATCTTCTGCTCTGTTCCACCAGCAAGCCTCAGGGGACTTTGCTGAATCCCCATAGTTCAGGTGGGGACACTAGGCTCAGAGAGGCAAAGTCATAAACCTAGAGAAACAACTAAGCCAGGGCCATTTCACTACAGCGGAAATAGTGGCCTCATCCTTGGGGGTGCACATATATGCATGAGCGCGCGCGCGTGCACACACACACACACACACACACACACACACAGAGCAGAAATTGCCATTTCCGTATGCAAGCGCTCCAGAGCCAGAGGACAGGGTGCAGGAAGCCAAGAGAGTCAGGAAGGAAATGCTAAGAGGCCTCAGGGGAAGGGAGCTGAGGATGGGGTATGCAGTGTGCAGCCTCGCCAGCCTGCAGATCAACACACCTGCAGGCCCCCAGCCCTACTACCACCTGTCCCAGCTAACAGGCCCAGGCTTAGCCTACGAAGGGCACTGCCCACCCCCAGCTGGGGAATGCTGCCAAACAAGTCCCCATGGCTGCTTGCACGCAGGCCCCTGCTATTGCCCAACATAGATGCTATCAGCCTGCAGTATCCTTCATCAGCCTGAAGCCAGGGTGCCTCTCCCAAGGCAGGGCCACCCTACAGGGAAACATAGCCTTCTTGTGGTCAGCTCCTTCCTCACAGCAGTTCTGCTCAAGCCTCAGTTTCCAGGGCTATGTGTGATGAAGCCTGGAAGAGGGAGATCATGAGATTCAGACTCCAAAGCTTATTGACTGTTACCCACAGGCCTGGGTACTTAGGGGTCTGAGCTGGCACTGGAACCTATGGTACACATACTGCATTCTCAGGGCCAAAGGCCTTGGGTTAGCAACCTGGCCTCACAGTTTCTCCAAAGTACATCAGGCTATCCAATTCATGCAGCCAGCAGCCCTATCCACTACGCACAGGACTCTCCTTCTAGCAATCAGCCCAGGAGAGCAGAGGGAATAGAATATGAATTCACTCTGGGGACTGGCCCAGACCCCAGAGTTGGGCAGTGCCTGCTACCTAAATGAGATAGAGGTTGGGACAGGCCCTTTGGGATCTTCCCAGAGATCCCTGCAGGTTGGGCTCCCAGGCTGTTCTAGGGCCAACCACATCAAGACTGGGGCTGTGGACTAGGGGCCACAGGCCCTGGGAAATGCAACAGGTCAAGTGGAAAAGCCAAAGTCCCTCCCTCCCCCCAAAACCAGGCTTGAAGGCCTCCAAACATCTCATAGCTGCCACACTGACACCCTGTGCAGCCCAAGGGCCCAAGTTCCATGGCTGCTGTGTCTAGAGCAAGAGAGTGCTTCAAAGGGATTGTTCTAAACCCTGATGGCTCATAAATCCAGCTGGAACAAAGAGACATGGGATGGGGTTGGGGTGAATCTCTCCACAGGAATGGGTAAAGCATTTCTCACTGGATACAACATGGCCCAAGTTGCAGAGCAGGCTGCAGGGCTCTGCACAGGCAAATGGATAGCCTGGAATTCTCTTCTCTACCCCCCTTCTCCTCTACACGGGGTATGCAGCATTAGGCACAGGCATGAAGGGTGAGCATTTTATGTAAAAGGGGTGCTCAGGGCCTCACCCACAGGAAGTACAGAGTAAGGCCCAGACTGTTGACTCCAGCCTCCCCATCCCAAAACTGTATTATTCCATTGGGATTTGAGGGTATCATCCACAATATCATCCATCCACCACTGGAAACTCAGGCAACTGGTGTCAGAACACCAAGCACCTTAGAGCAACTATGGACAGTGGAAGAAGGGGTCACTTGAGCTGGAGGGTCAGAATTGTAGTGTCTGCCAAATGCCAGGTCTGCTGACAGCCTTAGCTTTCATAGACTACTCCCTATAGCTGACACACAGTACCTGATCTCTCCACACTCAGGAGTTAGCCTGGACACACCCCTGAACAGAGCCATGCTCAGCACCCAGGTCTGGGTCAGGTACCATCTCCCAAGCTCTAGCTAACTGACCAAAGCCAGGGACTTAAAGACACCTGCTTATCTGGTGGTCAGTTTTAAGGGACAGGAGCTCATACCCAGAGCCCCGAACAGTGCCCATTACCAGGAACAACAGCACCAGGAAAGAGTAGGCTCAGGGGTAAGCTCAGCTCCTGAGAGGCTTATACAACCCCACTTCCAACTTCTGGCCAAGTACACACCTGGCCATGGCTCTCACCCCAAGTCTGTCCACTCAAGCACCTGTCCTCTAGAGGATGTTCTGTATTGGCTATTCCCCTAAGTGCTCACTGAGGGCATGTGGTACCCCAAGGATGGGACAGTATACCCTACCCTTGGCAGGGTACTCCCTCCATCTGCCCTCTCATTATAGAAAAATGGGGGGATAGAAGCTGGGGTATAGTTCAGCTAGACAAATGCATTAAAGCCTTGGCCCCTAATGGCCATGGAAATCTCTCCCAGCACAATCATCAAGGTCAGACTTATGAAACTCGTGCCCAGTCAGAATGCCCTGGCTAGGGACATTCACACACACACATTCCAGCCCCATAGCACACAGTTCTGCATATGCTGCCCTACCACCAGCACTGGGAATGAGGTGCAGATACTCCCTGAACCCCCTGCTGACCTCACAGCATGAAAGAATCCCACAGGAGCATAGGGCTTCTCAGGAACAAGAGGCCCAGAATATACTAAAAGAAGGACAATGTGAAGAGAAAAGCAAATCCCAGCACTGACCCTCCTCAGGCTGGTCCTAGACAGGGGCAATTAAAGAGCTGGTGAGAAAGTAGAAGGGCACACAGTAGACACTGGATTGGCCCCAGGCACAACCCAGGCAGAGGAAGCTGGAGGGGCAATGCTGGAGTGGGAGGAGTAAACCCTGCCTCAGAGGGTGCCCAGCCCTGTGAGGCCTGAGCCTAAGACTGATGAAAGAGCTTCACCCAGACACACGCACACCACCACCACCACCACCACCACCAAGGAATACTGTTCCAAATGCAGGGCTAGGAGGAGACAATGTAGCTGGGGAACTTAAGGGCCAAGTGATGCAACTTGACATCTGGCACCTCTGGGTAATCTCCGGGTCTGTTACACGGCCTCCCTAACCCATACATACATACACGTCTTGCTAATAAAACAGGCTCAGAGTCCCACTGTTCAGAGGGCCTGTGGGTTAACAGGTGACCCTGCCAGGGATGAAACTGGAAGTAGCCTTGAGAAGAAGGGGAGCCCAAGATGACCCTCCCATTCAACAGGCTCTGGGGGGATATTTTAGTGGTCTCCAGAAGCCCCCTCTACCACTCCAACCCAAATGAGCTCCCCTGATCATCCCCTCACTAGGCGGATGGAGAGATGGGCAGTCAGAGATGAGCCCGTGGATACCCTCTCTTCCCCACCTTCCTCGCTGCTACTTCTACATCCCCCCCCCCCCCCCCGCCTCCTCTGCTTCACCTCCAGCCCAGTGCTTGGTCTAAATCAATCAGCTCTCCCAGTCATATACTGGCTCAGCTCTGCCATACCTCAAGAGGGGACTGGGTGTCAGCTCCTGTCCTTGGGGTCAAGCTGCCAGTGGGATGGTCCTGGTCTGTCTTGTCTATTCTAAAATCCCAGCAAGCACTCAGTGAAAATCTGGTTGGGGGAAGGGCTGGCATGAAGGCAGTCCCTCAGCATACATGCTATACAAACAGCAGTCTTAATAGTTCAGGCCAGGAGCTCCACTGAGCACTGAGGGGAGGGAGCACCCTGTCCCTGAAGACAGGAACCAGCCAAGTTACACCTCAGTCTGACAAATTCAGGCCTAGATTCTGCTCAAATCCCTCTAGGCTAATAATGCTGGGAAGGGACAATGGAGGCCTCCTGGTTCTGATGAGCAGAGTGTGCTGGGCAGGAGGAGGGTGTTCCAGGCCTACCTTCCCGCTTCATGCCCATGGCCAGGCACTTCTGGTAGCGGCAGTACTGACACCGGTTCCTCTGCCTCTTGTCGATCAGGCAGTCCTTATTGTCACGGCAGGTGTAGGTCAGGTCTTTGCGTACTGTCCTCTTGAAGAAGCCCTTGCAGCCCTCACAACTGTATACCCCATAGTGCTTGCCTGTAGGGTGTGGACAGAAGGATGGGTGAGCTGTATTGACAAGACCCTCACCCATGTGTCATGCTACATGCCAGGGCTCTGCCTTCAGGTTTCAGAATCCCTGTCTGGGCTCAGGCTGGACCCTGCCTGGTCCTCCCTGCGTGCATCAGAGACCAGATCCATCCACCTTCTATCTGCTGAGGCTAAGGATCATCACCTCCTGAGGACCAGCATACCAACACTGATGTTGTGCTCTCTGTGCCTGTGCTATTGTGTTCTGGAAGAGTATGGACACTGTTCTTGGCTCTCAGGCTACTGGGGTTCAGTAGCACAATGTAGGGGAGCCCTTCAACAGGCTTGGCCCAGAGAGGAGGCCAGCTGTCATTGCACCTCAGCCATCCATGCCTGCATCTTCTGTTGACATGCCTCCACCACCCTTCCTATCCTAGTGTCCACCTTACTTGCAGGCAAAGCAAGGCACCTGGAGCTCTCAGCCCACCCCTCGCTCTACAGGGCATAGGAAGCACCCCTGAGTTCCTGCATCCCTGAATCCAGCCCACTGGAAAAAGCTAGAGAGGCCTGTGAGCTTTGTCTAGGTATGGTGCCCCTGCCTACCAGGCAGTCCTACCTGAGGAGCGGTCCCCACAGATAGCACAGATGTGCTTGGTGAAGGATGCCATATTTCCTGAGGGATGGGCAGGAACCTTGAGGACGCCATTGAGGCCCAGCGGGGGCTTGATGTCCTCACTGCTGCTCACTGGGTTCATGGGTGAGTTGAGCTGCAAGAGCGTGAGTCAGGATAGGTCAGCCTTGGAAGGCTAGTGACACACATTAATGAGTGCTGGGCTTCCCACAACTCCACTCTACATAGCCTAACTTGGGACACATGGTTAAGGGACAGCAAGACCATCATCTTTAGAACAGCGTTCAGCTCTATACCCAGCCCTCAGAGTTCCTCCCAGCAGTTCTAAGTCACTTCAGGGTACGAGAGACCTCACACAGCCAGGGATCTCATGTCTCTCACACCATACAAGAGGCCCACTCCACCACCCACCAAGGAGCTACCACTGTCACTTAACACCTGCCATGGGTCCTGGACACATGAGAGCCAGTGCAGGTGCTCTGGGCTCTCTGACCACCCAGGTGAGGACAAGAAGCCCAGGCTCAGGGAGGAGATATGACTTGGCTCCTCCAGAGTCACACATGTCCCCACCACCCTGCACGACAGTGCCATCTGGGGTAGGACAAGATAGGAGAGCAACTGGACATCCCAGACATCAAGCCATAGTCTTGGTCATCCTGGCCTTGGCACACCCCTTGCCTCGCCCCGCCCTCTGGCCGCCAAGGGCTAGCGTGGGAAACTCACCCTGTCACCCAGGCAACAGCTGCAGCGTCGCAATGACACAGCAGTTTTAGTTCCGCAGCCTCCAACCCAGCTCTGCAGTAAGCACAGGGCCCAGAGGCACTTCCCTCTGCCTGCCTATCTGCCAGGGCGCCAGAGCCCAGCTGGGCAGTCCCCCCCCACTTCTAAAAACCCCTGACAAAGGCAAAAAGCCAGCTGTACAGCTGCACTGCCCTTGCATACCCCCTGCTGCCCCCTGCAAGGGGAAGCTCACCTCCTTCCTCAGAGCCTCCTGCCCCATCCCCCTTTCTCACGGGACAGGAATAGCGCAGAAGCTTTGTGTGTGTGTGGGGGGGGGTAGCACCCAGAATGACTCTGTAGCCCTATCAGTCCAGGGTTGTGAGATTGGCAGTGGGGCTCTGCATGGATGCCTTATTCTGGCCAGCTTTAGGTGGGCTGCTGGAAAGCCTGGAGGTCCACAGAGTTGTGTCTGGGGGTTGTCAGGACATGGGAGTCCTTGGTGGCAGGCAGGACATCTCACTGCAGAAGAGAGCAGTTCATATGCTAACTGGATTAAGACCCTATGTGGGGATCCTGGGGTAGCAGGGAGACACCACTGGCTTTTGCTGGGAAGACTATATACACCCTCCACTCTGTTCACTATATAGGGAGCCTAACCCTGAGGTTCCTGAATGTCTTGGCTCTAGGCAGCATAAACAGCTCAGGCCTAATGAGCCCTGATATCAGGTTAGAACAAAGGCTGGGGACTATAGCACCCAACCTCACCACAGGCCCACAGACACCCACAAGGTTCCTCAGGGCTCCACTAGCAGACAGTCCTGGAATCCCGTCCCAGATCTGAGCTGATGGACTAGGGAGATTTCTATCTACCCTCCCCTCTGGGACCATAACCCCACCCACCTGGGACTTCTGTGCTCCCTACTCATCTCTCAAGAGACCCAGGACTGGACAGCCCTCTGCTGGAGCCCAGGGCCTCACTGGGTTGGGTGGGGGACATCCCATTTCCCCTTTTATATCCTTGGCATCTATTTCAGTTCTGCCTCATTGGTAACCCACCTGGGTCCCCGCCTACCTCCCAGGCATCCTCTCTTCCACCCTTAACTCATCCTGTCCTCCCAGACCTAGGCCAGCCCTCAACTAGAACCCCCCTCCCCCTGATGGGCTAGCCATCTGCTCTCAGGTTCTGTGCCCTCCCTACAGCTTCATTCACCATCTGGCTGGCTTTAGGCATCATGAAATACCTGCTTTCAGGGTCACTGTAGGAGACCCTTCTGCCACATTTGGGCACTCAGAAGTGCTTTCCAACTGTGAATCACCCAAGGAAGCCAGTGTGGCCAGGCAGGAAGGCTCAGGAAATAACAGGGTCCTATCCTAGTAGAGCCCCAAGATCAAATGAGATGCATGGATGGCTTTGGGCACCAGGTGGCCATGACTGATATAGCTATATCCAGACCCAGTAAGGCGCCTTGAGAGTTGAGAGTTGAGAGCCAAGAGGTGCCAACACTGAAGCCAAGGAACTATGGAGATCAGTTTTTCATTTACCCATTCTGCCCAGAGCATCTGGGGCTAGCAAGGGTATAGAGCAGCTATGATAAAAATAACAAGGCCAGGCCAGGGTAGATAGCTGGGTGGTCAGGCCTGCTTCATACCAGCAGCACCTCAGGCCTCTGCCTGCTTCTGGAAAGCAAGGTGAAGAGTTGGGGGCAGGATAACAGACTGTTCGTGAACAGGAACTCCAGCTCTTCTATGCACACAGGTGCTTGTGGAAGCATGCACATGCATACGTATACACACATGCACGCACACACACGTGCATTCTCGGGCAAGGGGTCTTAGGTGGGATCAGCCTAGGAAAACCAGACAAATTGTCTGGGGCAGAGGCATAAGAGGCTCAGGCCAGTCACAACAAGCTACCTGGTCATGTAGTGAGTGGTCTCTAGTACACCCAGCACCAGAAAGGGGGAACACGAGGTGGCATGGTTCAGAGCACAAGGCTGTGGAAACCTAAGGGACACATGGGTGCCATTAGCCCTGCAGTTCAAGGGAGAAGTCCCAAGTGTGTCATGAGGTGGCACAGCAAAGCTATTTGGGGGAAGGGAGGGGACAGAACCCAAATTGGAACTTGGAGCAGAAAGGGCATCCCTGACCTGTTTCAGGAAAGGCAAAGGAATCCCAAAGAGCTGGCTCTCCAGATGCAGAGCTGCATATACGTCAAGGACATAAATCCCCATGGAAACCCACCAAGACCCTAAAGGAAATAGGGAGACAGCATAGCTCTATCCAACAGGTATTCAGGTTCTTGGGGAAAAAAAAAGAGCACAGACCCCAGGGTACCCACAACAGGACAAGAGCCCTGCTAGGCCCACAGAAAAGGAAGTCAAGCCTCACAGCCAACATCCACAGAGCCACTGAAAGCCAGAGCCCAGATATAGGCTGTTACCAGGGGCCTCTGTAAGACCAAAGGACTGGCATCTCTGGGTCAGGATGTGCTTTCCCTGCAGGCCCAGGAACACTGAATCCAACGGCCTGGCTAGAAGGACCTATGAGGCCTTGGGGATTCCTGAAGATAGCTGTAAGCCTGAGAAAGCAGATACCCCAGAGTCCCACAATCATGGGGACAGGCTCTAAAGAGGCTCTAGGGGGAGTTGAAGACCAACTGTAAGGAATTTCAACTGACAGAGCTATAGAGGCCAGCCTAGGTCAGGCAGAGGGAGCCTCAGTCTCAGCTCCAGGCCAGTCTGGGTCAGTAATAGAGAATCTCAGCCCCAGGCCAGTCTGGGTCATCCAGAGGGAATCTCAGCCCCATCACCACAGCATGACACTGAGGCTAGCTTCGCTCTGCCGTCCACTTTCATAAAGACAAAGTCAGAATGACAGCTCTGACCCATGTGTTCACAGCCTACAGATGAAGTTTCTACTTGCTGTCCCATGTCCCCCAAAGCTCAGCCCAGTACTCACCTGGGGGCTACCAGTCCCGAAGCCCAGTGTGGGTGTGGTGGGCACCGACATGGAGTGCGGGCCCATGGGGGAACTGATGACAGAGAAGGGTGGACCCATGCCATTGATGGGAGAGCTCAGGGTGCTGATAGGTGAGTGCAGCTGCCCAGGGGAGCCCAGCGGAGAGCCAATTCCTGGACCCAAGGAGGGATGCAGCGAGGGGGCAGCCATGGAGCCTCGACCCGTTGGAGAGCTGAGGGATGAAGAGTTCACCTGGGTGGAGAAGTCTGCAAGACAAGATTTGGCAGGAAGGAGGGTCAGAGCAGCCTCTAGGACCTGGCAACTGCCTTCTCCCACCTACTCAAGCCAGAGGCAAATCCTCACGCTCAAGGTGTCAGGACTTCTCTGCCATATTCCAAGAGCTAGACTATGTTTGGAGGGCCCCAGCAGGTGCCACTGCTATCTATCTCACACTCTCTGGGGTTCTCACAACTGCCTATGTAAAACCAGGGCTAGCACTGAAAGCTGCAGGCTCTAAAGTCTGTGACCCTGCTTGTCCTCTGAGCCACATAACCTGGACTTCTCGGTACCACAGCAGGGCAACCCAGAATCCAGAAGAATGGAAGGCACTGGCACTACCACGTGGGAGGGGAGCTTCCAGGTGGCCTTGTGGAGAGCCAGGGAGTGTGCCAAGCATGAAACTGACAAGAGGGCTGGGGCTGGGACCTCCCACATGCCAACCTTCCATGCAGGGCTTCAAACGTGAACAATTTTAATCAGGCCTCCCGGACTCCAGAGGCTGGGGAGGTCCCCAGGTGTCCAATCTACTGCCCACAGACCTGGCAGGTCATGGAGAAGACAGTGAGGAGCCTGCGCTAGGCAGACGCATGCCATGCTGAGAGCTACCTGCCCCTCCAAGGCTGATGCTCTGAGAAAGCCTGTCCCCTTGCCCCCTCACCCTCCTACCTTCCCTTTCTCCCTCTCATCTCTCTCATCTCATCTGTGGAATAGTCCTGACCTTTCCTGCCTCTTAATTGCCATGGCACTTGCTTCTGATAAGTCAAGAAGAACTATGGGCATGTAAAGCGAATGACTAGCACACCCCAGGTAGGGGACACAGGCTGGTTACACTACTCAGCACCCTGGAAAGGCCAGGCCATTCTGAGCAGAACTCATCCTGGCTGTGACCTGGAATGTGAGTTGAGCAGGAAGAAGCCCAGAGTAGATACTGGAGGACACCACACCAGTCTTAAGACAACACTGGCACTCTGGATGTGACTCTTAGACTAGACTTGACTCTGGCTAAGCCAGTGCTTCCATTCTGAACCTGATGACCACTAGCACAGTACAGGGTGATCCCAGTAACCGCACCAATTCCAATTCCGCACCAGGAGTGGTATAGAGGCCCTGCCTGCAGGACAAGCCCTTCAGAGAGAAACCTAACCTGTATCTATCCCAAAGATTCTGGGGATGGCCTCCCTGTTTCCCCTCAAGAGGAGGATGCAATTAAGAAGGCTCCCCTGCGACCAGGTCCACTAAGGAGAGGCTAGCCTAGCTACCATAACTACCCCAACTGACAGAAGGGACCAATTCCATCAGCCAATGAGCTTCATTTGATCTGCCAGAAACCCCTGCCATTCACAAAACTGGAAACAAACCAGATTGTTAAACAAAAAAAAAAGAAAAGAAAAAAAAAAAAGAAAGAAAGAAAGAAAGAAAGAAAAAGAAACAAAGTCAATTTAAGAAATCCAAAATTAGCTACTATGTAGGGTGGTAATATGTCTTTAATATCAGAGGCAGGAGGATCTCTGTGAGTTCAAGAAAAGCTTGATCTACAAAGTGAGACCCTTTCTCAAAAAAAAGGGGGGGGGGGCTAAAGAAATGGATCAGTGGTTAAGAACAAGGTCTGGTTCCCAGCATCCACATGGTGATTCACAACTGTCTGTAACTCCTGTTCCAGAGAATCTGATGCTTTCTCCTGGCCTCCAAGGGCATGCACATAGCACACTTACACACACACAGATAAAACTCCCAATACACAAAAATTAAAACCAAACCAAACAAACAAAAAACACTTAATCCCAGAAGCAGGAGGTAGTATCACCTACTAACCAAGACAGGAACTAAAGACCAGCTCTACAGACCACTAAACTCCATATGGAATGGGGGGGGGTGCATGGATTACAGGGAAGGGAGGTGGGGCAGTCAGACAGGAGAATGTGTCTAAAAGGAACAAATACAAAGCCTAATTGCTTACAGGAGCCTGGAATGCCTTTGTTCCTTTGACGTCAATTGAATTCTTACGATCCTGTCAGAAAAGCCACCACCTCCTACCTATGGTGGAAGAAGAATCTAAAAAAGTTCCTGGATAAGCACTGTCCAGAAGCAAACTTAACACAAGTTGAAGTTGCCCCTAGGCCAGGCAACCACACCTCTGGGATACCTGGAGGCCACTGGGCTGACCCATCACAGTCTCTGCCTCTCCTGGCCCCTCCTCCAGATGAAGAAAGCTAGGCCAACTCTCTCCTTCCCATGCGGGCTTTGTCTTCTGAGGTCTGTGGACTGTGAGACCCTGCATCCCACCAGGCTAAGTCCTCATTGGATCACCTTTTAGCACATTTGAGAGAAGTGTCTTGCTGACTTGGAGCACATCTACCTTCTGCAAGCATCCCAGAAGACAGGGTAATGCTATGGCAACCAAGAGGGAGCTGGGCTGGACCTAGAGAAGGCCTGCTCTTACTGGCCTTTTAGAACAAGATGAGAGCATGACCAGAAGAGAAACCCTCAGATTCCCCAAGGCTCTTTGCACCCCCTGTTCATGGGAAGCCTTGGGCAATGGAAGTGACATGAGGCCTAGGGCAGCCTGTCACACTAAGGGTGAGCCAGCTCTCCCTAAACACCAGGAAAAGCTGGCTATGTTCACCTCATGAGAGTGTTTCTGCCCAGGGGAGACAAGGAGGGAGCCTTGCAGCCACAGGGTACAGCTGGGATGGGAGACTCAGCTGCAAACGGGTCTCTGTAAAATGCCACAGCCAGAGCTGCTCCTGTGGCTGTGGGCTTTGCTGTGGGAGTAGCAGGAGAAAGCTACAGCAAGAGGAAGGGAAGGAGGGAGTGAGTGAGGGAGGGAGGGAGGGAGGGAGGGAGGGAGGGAGGGAGGGAGGGAGGGAGGGAAGTACCCAAACTCCTCTGGCTCTTCATGGTACCACCCATACCTGGCTCAAGTTGGAAACTGCCAAGGAAAGGAGCCACACCAATGGAGGAGAAAACAGGCCAAGGTGGCATATGGACAGACCTCAGGAAGACGGAAGATGGGGAGACAGGAGGAGCAAGAGCCAAGTCTCCAGTCTGGGAATGTGGCTGTCCCTGTGTGAAGATTCCCTTAGGCACCCCTCCCCCAGTCCTCCACCCTGCCTGTAGCCTGATGGTACAGGGCCAAGCATCCTATGGTTGCTCCGAGCAAAGTCCCTAGAGCTCCAATGTATATGGGGCTGCCACCAGAGCAATGCCTACCTTGGCAGGTCCCCACTGGCCCAGGCCCCCACCCCAGGTCTTCCTGTTTACAAAGAATGTCCACTGCAGATACCTTTCCGGAGCCTGGGTGACAATAGGCTGGGTGTGTTTTCTGGATCCTTCTGTAGGGAGAAACTTTCTAACCAGGAAGGGAATGAGCAAGAAATGCCGGCTCATCCTTATACGTGTACAACCCATGTTCATGTATGCCATGTTCTGCCTTGCCTGTCACCACCCTGATAAGCCATGGCCCCCATAAGGCACAATTCAAGCAGCCTCCCTTTGGACTTGCAAGGGTGTTAGTACCACCTGACTCCACAAGATCAGGGCTTGTGGGATGGAGCCTAAGGCTGCAATGTGTCAGCTTCAGACAGAAACTACAGGACACACAGTGCTCCTTGCCCAAGAAGTCACAGAGAAGCCTCAGTAACATGACTGAGAAGAAACTGAATCACAGAGGCTCAAGGATCCCATATCCCAAGATACTTCTGCAGGACTACCACCAACACAGCCAGGGAGCCTGGGAAGGAATTAGCCAGGGAGCTTACTTGAACAGCAGAGAAGAAAGCCTATCTTTGCAGCGAAGATGCTCATCATCACAGGCAGCTGGCAATGCAGTCCAGGAAGGGAGCGTGAAAGAGGGAGCACAGAGAACTCCCTTGGTACAAAGCTGACCACATTATGAATTCTTGGAGGTTTAAACAGCAAACCATCACAAAGCAGAGATGGATTGTCCCAGCCCAGAACCCAGGGCAGTTCCCTAGACCTCAGAGGGCGGGTGCGAGAGGCTGAGTGACATTAATAAAACTGAAATAATAAATGCCTGGCAACAGCTCTGGTGACTCCAAGATGACAGGCACTACTGAGGTCATGTGCAAGCAAGGAGTACAACTCCCACCAGAGTCCCTATGCCATATGGCCTGCAGGACACCTGCCTGCAGCAGGACCCCACAGCAGGAAGCCCAGGGAACCCCCATCAACTCCCTTTCAGCCTCAGGTTGGTAGGCAGGGTGCAGGAAATGACAGCTCACCGCAGCCCCACAGCCCCTCCAAGGTAGCCAGGGAACCCAGCCCCTGGAGAGGGGAACTCAATCATCCACAGCCCTTGGACACAGCAGGATCTAAGCAGGTCTGCATCTGGTAAACATAAGTGGACCCTGTGACTGCTCCATCTAGAACCAGGAAAAGAGGACAGATGGATCCAAAGGAGAGTACATGGGAAATGAACATTCTGGGGCCACCAAGGAGGGGCCTGAGGAGGGCAGCCAATATGCAGCCACAGTGAACCAGCACCAGGATGGCTGTCACAGTACCCTTATCCCCACCTGGGGACAACACTCGGAACTGAAATTTGCAGTGGGTAGCTCACAGGTCCTCAGAACTTCCTGGGCTGCCCACCTCCAGCCCCACCTTCCGGAAGTACTGCTTCCCCTGAAGCCCTGGGAGAGAGAAGTGGTGGCCCTGTAGGACAGTAATGGGAATGTGGCAGGGACCATGGTGCCAGGGTTTGAGGGAGGCCAAGGGTGGTCAGAGTGGGAGGAGGAAGACAGGCCACAGGCCCCGAAGGGTAGGAGGGGGCGGCTTCAGGGACTGGTAGGACAGGAAGATAAATATCCCCTAGCCAATACTAACCATGGTGAGAAAGGGCTGCTGCCTACACTTGAGGCCACAGGGACCCCTCAGTATTGTTGAGTCTCAGTCCCCTGCTCTGTAAAATGGGCTGAGGCTTCTATGCCAGCCTAGAGAACAACCCCTAGCAGCCCTGTTTGCCCAGCTC